TCCATCGCCGGATTGGTACGCCCATTGGAAGGAACCATCAGGATCCACATTCTGACTTTGGGATATTATGGGCACTGGGGTGGTACCAGCAAGGGCAAGAGCCGCCAGACCAGAGAACACAATCAGTTTAGTGAACATTGTTAGTTGCGTGTGGGACACTGAAGATGCAACCATTTTTTTGGCTTTTATATCGCCGATCTGCAGGTGGATTAACTATTGTCAACGTTACATCAGTGAATTTGGAATTTAGATTTCAAGGCGAATTAGCCCAATTTTTTCCCAAGTTATTAATATTCCGCTGACTTTTACAAAATATGCTAAACCGATGCTGCTGATGGGTTTTGCCTGCGGGCCGCCTTTAAACCCACGCAATCTGCTTGCAAAGGTTGGCCAATGTGTTCAACCATCACAACCTTTGTAGGGAATAAAGCGCGATTTATTGGGGGAAATCCCCAGGAGGGCAACAGCGCTTGTTACAATTGGAAAATTACTATTTTTAATTTTTACTTGACTCCAAAACATAAAATCTGATTTACCTTAAGGCAATTTTTAAGAATTTTTCAAAATTGCATGTTGTTTTCGGACAGATTTAAGTATGCGCTGTTTTCCCATGTTTTGCTCAGGAACTAGCAAAGTTAGAGAGTCACTTTTGCCTGGCACTTCTAGGAGAAATTGTGTTCTATAAGTGCAAAACGTTGCGACTTTGGATCATCATCAGGAAAATTTTCGGGAATTTAGGAAATATTGTTGGGTTGTTTGTGATGAAATGATGAAAATGTGCCCTAAATGGCAACGATGTCAGACGCTCGCTGTGCGCCACCCCGACGGTTGTGGTTCTATTTTGAACCCTGAATGTGTGTGACGCCCAGGCTTGCCAGCTCTACCGTTTTAACGTTAATTATGATATACCTACTTTTGTAAATGTTATTTTCATAATTATTATTTTTATTTTTTAACAGAAATTTAGGGACGTTAAATTATCTACCGTTTTCTTTTTAAATCTACCGTTTTTCCTCTATCCATTCTACCGCTTTCGAAGTTCTTGGTGTGGCAACGCTGGTAAGGCCAAACTCATTTCGGCTTTGTATAAAACAAAAAAATTTAACTTTGTTTGCAACGTAGTGTAGTTTGGACCTTTTTGTTCAAATATAGATATAAATCATACGGTCCACAAATTTCGAAAGTTAATTTAAAGAATTAAGAGACAAAAATTGATTGTCCCCATGCAATCCCATACATAAATGTTGTTTATGAAGGCCTAAGTTTGGATAGAGAAAAAAGGTAGATTTAAAAAGAAATCGAAGGAATTTCATCTCACAGAACTTTAGCTCTTCATAACCAACCGCAAAGTTGTATACCAAATAAAAAATCGTCAAAATAGCCTGATCATGACTCAAATTCGAAACGTTTTCCACTCATAGAACA